TAAATCGAGTCCTCGCCCCTGCCGGCCAGATGCCATGGGCTCCGTGGAAGGCAAAAGTGACTTGTCTGATCCCTGGCCTCCGAGCCATCACTTCTAAGCTGCTAATTAATCATACGTACAGCTTAAATGAGCTCACTTGAAAGGGCAGCCCCTCCCTGACACAGGCTGCTCAAGGGTTCGCTCAGATTCCTCAGCACGCTCAATTAAAAAATACTGCTACTCCTGTTCCTCCTCCCACCAGGGTGGTGAATCCCTCCTGTGGCCACGGGGTCCAGGGAAGGAGCCTCCAGAGCCGGCCATGTGGCCGAACAGAGAACCGGGCTGGTGTCCAAGCTGTGGTGTTCCCAGGGGGCTGCATCTCCCCGGGAAGTGCTCTGGGAGGAGCTCCTGCAGGTGAGGAACTGTGGGGTGCGAGCTGCTTGTCCTGCCCGCCCAGCCGCCAGCTCCTCAGCATCTTCCAGGCACAAACCTCGGACAGCCTCACGAGTTCTTGCTGCCCGAGAGGGCTCCGGTTTCTGGTCCGTGGGTAACTCGGGAGGTAATTACAGGAATTGTGTTGCTGTCTATCCTGGTTATTTACTCCTTGCAGCACACCACGGAGGTCTCGGGTTTGTTGTTGTTATTATTTTTCTCACCCCTTACCTCTGGGGGGAAAAATAGATGCAATTTGTTGTTTCCAGGGCTGCTCTGTGTGCCACACAGCACTGCCTTGCAATGGGGTGGTCCAGAGCCTGATTGCAAGTAGCATCACAAGAGATGCCCACGGCTTTGTTCTCATCTGATTAATAAAAATTCAGGTCAGGCAGTTCCCTGGTACCTTTTAGCAGCAGGGAGAAGCACAGCATCTGAATGCAGCCGGCTCTTGTCGGATTTGCTTATTTCTCTGCAAAAATGCGGCATGTGGCAAGAAAGCTGGAGTGACCTCTGAGTGGGGTTTCCTTCGTGTTACTCACAGACCCACCCATCTCCTGCAGCCTGGGCAAAGCAGAGCATGTCTCTGCTTGGGCCAGAGTTGATTTAGGAACCAAAGAGCTGCCACAGCAGCACATCTGGAGGTGGTTGTCGTGGTTGACTGTCCCCTAGTTCTTTGCATCCCTGCGTTTCAAGTTGTTGAGGAAAAGGGATGGTTTTTCCCCATGTGTTCCGGACACCAGAGCAGTTTCTGTTCCAAGGTTGGGCAGCTCTCAGTACCTGTGGGTCAAGGAACCCCGCAGGCCAGCGCAGGCACGGAGATGGTTAAACAACAGACGGGATGAGTCCGGCATCCAGGAAGCATCCCTGGGCTCCTGTTCTGCAGGTATTAAAAAAAGCTGCCTTGAAAATAGACTTGGAGGACTGCACCAGGCGACGGAGGAGCACATCTTCCACAGACCATCTGCCTGCTCCCGCTGGGGATGGAGGTGGCGGCGAGAAGCGGTGCCTGGTGCTCTGGTGGGCAGGAGCTCAGGGCAGAGCTCGCTCTGCGCCCCGCAGCCGAGCCGGGACGGTGGTGACTGGGCGCCCGCGTTCCTCCCGCTGCCGCCCCCAGCTGCAGGGCCGCGAGGGGCAGGGGGCACGGGGACAGAGCTGGATTGTGCTGGGCATGAATCGCCCCATTATTTTGCATCTCGAGCAGATGCCGGGAGCCTGGTGGAGGGCATCTCCCTCCTGCTTTAATAGATCCGCGCTTGCTGGTGCGCCCGTCTCCCCTGATAGACTGCAGTGTCTCCTGCCTGCTTCCCAACCCCTCAGCTCCAAGCCGCCTCTAAGCCCACAGGCGTGCTGGGCCCGGAGCTGTGATTTCAGGGTCCAGGCTGGCACACCTGCACTTGCACGGCCTCAGCAGCGTGCACAGCCTCACACGTGCTTGGACTTTTTGGGGTGTTAAGGATGAGGTGGGGTTTTCCCCCCCCTAGGGAGCAGCAAAGCTTTGGTTTGAGGGCACAAGGCACAGCTGCGTGGGATGGGGAGGTGTTGGTGGGGACGGGTGGGCAGCAGCTCCAGTGCCGGAGATGTCCCCCTACCATCCTCCAGCCCACACGTCTGCGGGGCAAGGAAAAGTCTGGTTATTCACAGCCTCAGCCTGGGCATTTTCTAAACCCTTTTAATGATGTGATTTCCTCTGGACCTTTGAACAGCTTTGAACTGGGTGATATGGAGCACATTACAAATTCACTTCTCCACCAGCCAGGATTTTATATTTTTTTGCCTTTCTCCTTTAAATCACTCAGCACTGATCATGCTGAATTAATCTAACTGGCAATTTATCCTTTCCGCTCTTTGTAAATTAAATATTAGGGCAGGGTGCAGTCATTAGCAATGACTAACTACCCAGCAAACACTTGTGGCATTCTGCTAACCCAGCAAATCCCTTTCCAAAAACGTGTATTTTCTAGTGGGAGAGCAGCATTGCGCGGTGCTCCCAAACGATGGTTCATGTTTTATTATGACAAGCTGGCTTTAAAACGCATCATCTGCTTGAGGCAATCGCTGCTCCCTCGGGTTGCTTCGGGTGGGTGCTGCTGCTAACACCCCGCTGCTCCCTGCATCCTGTGGTGTCCGGGTGCGGATGCTTTGGCCAGACCTTGCTTTTGGGTGTCCCCAAGGGGCTCTCCATCAGGAGATGCAAGCGGGCAGCACGAGCAGAGCAGCCCCGCTGCCCTGCGGCATGCTCAGCGGTTGCCCCGAGGCCCCGTGGACGTGGGTGGGGGAAAGATCCTCCTCCTTGCAGGGATACACCTTGGTTGTGCCAATGTCGTGCTACCAGACCAGAATATTCCAAGGAAAGGCATGAGATGATGGGATGAGAGCTCCAGATGAGCCCCTGAGGTCCTGTTGGATGGTGCTGGCAGTCCCCAGCACTGCATGGAGCCGTGCGTCCACTTGTGGCTTTCCCAGCACAGCTGTGCTTGTGCCACTCACGTCCCATTCCTGCTGGAAATATGAGGGCCCTTGTGACCCCATCCTTCACCTTCTGCCACTGTCTGGCCAAAACATCTGTGCTGGCTGCAAGGGACAAGGCATCTTTTTCATCTCCTCCAACATTTTGCAGCGACCTGGCTTCCCTTGGGGGCACATCATGCCGCTGTCATGCCCCTCGGCACAGGCGGGCTTGCCAGGAACCGGCGAGGGCTGGGAAGCGATGGAGAAAACCTGGAGCTCAGCATCAGCACAGCTTTTCTCCCAGCCTCAGAGAAGCCTCCTGCAGGTCAAGATCTCAGCATGAGAGCACAGCAGGCGAATGGAACCACGTTGCCAGTGCCAAAATCAGAGGCTGTTGCTGTTTCTCCTCCCTGGACAAGGCAGTGCCTGCAGACAGAGGCCAGCACGCCGAGATGGACCCACAGCCACCAGCATCAGGGGGATGGAGCTGGGGACCAGCAGGCTCAAGACTATCCTGGGAAGCGAAGCTTTGCAGCCGTGATCCTCTTTTAATATTCTGTCTTGGGGGCATGGTAAAAATAGACATTTGGGATGCATTATTATTGCTGGAGTTTTATTGAACGCTGTTTATTGTTTTCAGATGCAATAAACCTAGCAGGGGAACCCAAGAGACTGATGGATCTAAATATTCTTCAAGCAAGTCCCAGCTCCCCTGCTGGGCTGCGGCCCCAATAATTACCCCCGGATCAGTTGCAAGCCGATGGTAATTAAGGCACAATTACGGATGGCTTGGCTGTTACCATTGGAAAAAGCCTCCCTGGGTGAATCCACCTTGTTGGATCAATTCTCACCATGAAGATAACCCCGTTGCCACATGTGCTGAGACACACAGCATGCGGGGAGTAAGTGGCTTAGGGCATAATGCACGTGTCCTACCAGAAGTTACCTGGGTGCTGCTGGGCTCAGTGGAAGCAAGCACTGCTGGTGATAATCAGCAGGGAATCAAGGCAGCCGTGGTGGCTGCAGCATTTGGCGGTCACATCTTCATGGTCTCTTAATTTATTCCCCTGCTCTTCCATTTTCCAAAATTGTATTTTTTTTGTCCCATTGGTGTTGGCTGTTTTCTGAGACAGCAGAGAACGAGGTAAGGCTGCTCTTCAAATATTGCTGCTGTTGCTCAGTTAGCCCTGGCAACATTAGTGCCGTCAGCTCAGCAGGTGAGCTTTTATCAGTGAGCGTGGTTGGCCCTAGACACATTGGTCTTCAGATGGAGACGTTGCCTCAAAGCTTTGGCCTCTTTCTGGACCTTGTGATAAAGAGGAATAAACTTTGCTGGGTTGCACCCTGCCTGCTGGCAGCCTGTGCTCCAGAGCCAACAGTCCGGGTTATTATCCATTTGGAAATCAGCATTAATATTGCTGATTGTCTCAGGGATTACAGGCCTGGCAAAAACAACCGGTGCTGAGCTCGGCGTGCTGCTGGGGACCCGGCAAGGCAGGGATGGACGGGACGGATCCCAGTGGGCGCAGTTTGCTGCTCATTGCGGGGCCTTCCCACAGGGGAACGAGTTTCCCTGCAGGATAACAAACGCTGCTGCTTCACCGGCGGCCCTTACACGTGTGATTTGGGGTGCGGGGGGTGACCAGGCTGGGTAGATCTGAGCATCCCACAGCCCCTTCGCTTCCCGTGCCAAACGCGTTTGGGCACCGCCGTAAATCCCGAGGGCGGGCAGCCCCGCCTGCTTAATTTTTGGGCTGCTGGGGGTGATGGGGTGTGTGTGTGGGGGGGATGAGCACACCCTCCCCTTTTCAGGCCACCCCCAAAGCTCGTGGGGAGCCGCTCGGCGCCTCCAGGCGCGCACGGGGAGGGGACCGCGGGCAGCATCCCCGCACCCGCACCGGCCTCTGCCGGCGGCCCCCCCCCCGCTTCCCCCCGCCTCTTCCCTCCCTCCGCCCCTCAGCCGCGACCAGCTCTGTGCGCAAGCGTGCCCGGGCCCCCCCCGCAGCCCAGCCCCGGCTTAACTCCGCTCCCCCCCCCCGCCCTGCCCGCTGCGGAGCCCGGCACCCCCCGGCCGCCCCATGGTGAGTCTGCAGCGGGGGGCTTGGGGTTGGAGGGGGGACACACGCTGGGGCTGGGGGGGGGGGCTGAGGTGAGGGGAGATCCCACCCGGTCCTACCGGCCCCCCCCTCCGCTTTTCTGCGTGAAAACACAGCGCTGAAGGCGCTGCGAAAGGCTGCGGCTGAGCTCTGCCCTATTGCGCCTGCTGTAGAGGTGAGGGGGGCCGGGGGGGCGGCTGGGGGGGCTTTGGGGTGCTGGGGGGGGGGGGTTGCGATGCAGGAAGCCCCCACCGCTGCTGGGTGGGCGTGCGGGCAGCCGGCGATGCCAGCAGCAAAGCCACAGCAGCCCCCTCAGTGCTGGAAGGCGAGAAGGCGGCTGCATTTGATTCGCTTTAAAATTTATTTTCGAAGCGTTTTCTCCTTATGGAAGTAGTGCCTGAGCGTGGCTTGGCGCCCAGGTGCGATGGAAGCCGGATCGCGTGCCCGATGCTGGCGGCAGGGAGAGCGAAGCGAAGCGATGCCTTGCGTTGTGCTCGCCATGCCCAGGGCAGCGGCCCCCGCCCCGGCCAAGCAGCGCCCCGCATGAAAAGCCCTGGGCCAGGCTCTGGATGGACGTCCCGATGTGCTGCTTCCAAGGAAAACAAACAAACCAACCAACCAACCAGCCCTGGAAACCGCGAGATGTCTGTCTGACATCTCTCAGCGCTGGTTTCGGAGGGTACTTTGCAGTAGTGATGCCAGGGCACTTTTGGCGCAGGTCCTTGGGGTTTCCGTGCGAGTGCACAGCCTGTGCTCTGCAGGTGAGGCAGCATTTGGGGGGCTCTGCTTCTCACCGCCCCCCGGCTGGGGTTTGGTGCTGCTCCAAAATGCTCCTGGCTGCCCCATGGAGGGGAGGACACAGCTGGCAGCCACCCAACACGCTGGGGATGGAGAGAGCTTGGTGCCGGCCCTGGGCTTTGCTCTGCCCGTAATGCTAGCGCAGCAGCGTGGGCTGAATGTGATCTGTTTAGGCAGCTGAAGCCTTTTCCCACCCCTCAGCATCCTCCGTCCGTACAGCCTGGGATCTGCAGCTGGTGGACGTGCTCCAGCAGTGCCTCCTGCCCAGTGACCCCAAAGTCACATCCCCATGCGCCCAGGGCTTGGATGCTGCGAAACCCCGTCCTGCCCTATTGCCTGTGCCTGTTCTGCAGGGAGGGCTCGTTCCCATCAGGACGTGGGGATGCTTGCTCCAAAAGCAGCAGAAAAACAACCAGTGGGACTTTTGGCCACCGAGCTTTCACCATCAGGTCTTTTGCTGCGTGAGCTGAAGCGGTTTCATTGTTCTCAGGAGCCTGGAGTGGAGAACAAAGGAAATCTTCCTCCGGGGGCTTTTGTTTGTGCTCCTTCGTAGGTTCCTTAGCTGGGATGTAATGCATCTGGCCCAGGAAGCCTCGTGGCGTTGCCTTGCTTTCCCTGCCCAGGTCGTGGAGCTGGCGAGGGGCTGATGCTCAGTGTGTGGCACCTGGCCCTCGGGCTGCTGGTGGCTCTGGTCCTCCCCTCATCATGGTAGATGGTGTGGGATGAGCTAATTAATGCCTGGTGGCAGAGCTTTAGGGAAAGCCCTGCTGAATTTACCTATCCTCTCTGATGGGTGGCTCTGCCAGGATCTCCCTCCTACAGCTCCCCAAGATAAAGAGGCTTTCAGCCGAGCAGACTGATTAAATCACAGACTGTCAGCCGCCTTCGCTGAGGCTTCACGTGGTGGCAAGTGGCTGTGCAGTGACACGGGATGCCCCATGCAAACCCCTGTCCAGATGCAAAACCGGCGGATCTGATGGTTTAAGGACACGTCCAAGCTGTAACAAACTCCTGGCGTCATTACGAGCTGTAGCTTGGGAGCAGCGTGGCTTGCTGGACTCTTCCTAACCCTTGTGCTTAATTATCTACATCATTAGAGGCTGCTTTCTCCTCCAGCTCCGGGCAACAATTTAATAGCAACTGCTACAGCAATGTGCTGAATCCCACAAGGATAGAGGGTAATGGCTCTGTAAATGTAAATACGTGAGGAGGAACGCTGCTGGCACAGGCAGGGCTCTGTCAGTGTTAACATCGCCTGCAGGCTGCCACGGAGAGCTGTGCGCGGGGCAGGGACTGCCAGTGACTGCAGCATCCTTCCAGCCCTGCGTGCCTTCCGTCTGTCAAGGGAAAGCCCCTATTTAAGTCCTTTTACGACTTTGGAATGACCGTACTGATGTCATCAAGCCTGGATTTTTCCCGCTTGTGTCTTTCCTATGTTTACAACCCGCGTGTGCGGTGGTGGGAAGCCCGGCGGCTCCCATCGGGATGAGGAGCCCTTCCCGTAGGAAGGGCTCCTCACGTCCCACACGTCCCTTTGGCACGTGTCCCCTGCCTGAGCCCAGTGATGCTCATTCACACGGTTCCACAGGGCCCGGCCCCGACGTTGCAGTGAGAAGAGGAAATGGTTTTACCGGTCACACCACTATCTGCAACTTCTCGTTCTCGTTTTCCTTTGAACTCAGCTCCCCACTTTACTCTTGCACTGCTTGGATGCTTTGCACAGTTTCTTTCCTTCGGCTGCAGCCCCCGGGGAAGCGTGTGTTTGTTGTGTGTTTTCTAGGAAAATCCTACGTCTTCTTGGAGGTGGGGGGGGAGGGCCAGTCCCTGCTAATCTCTTGTGTTTCCAGCTGCTGACCCCTTGCGTGTGACCGTGGATGGGGTTGGAAGTTTCCTCTGAGAAAGCAAGGGGCAGCTGGATGCGGCCGTGGCGGTGCTGCCGGGTGTGCTCGGTGCAGGAGCGAGCCCCTGGCTGCTCTCGCTGACCTTACTTTGGACTTTTGCTGAGCAAAGCCAAGGGGCTCCGACCTGCTGTGGGTGAAGGAGGCGCAAGGAGGGAGGTGGAGCAGGGTGCAGGTGGGGTCAGCATCACTTCAGTGAGGTGCTTGGGGTTTTCCAAATGCCCAAACCTTCGTTTGGGCATTCTCTTACATGCCACTTGCATGCCTCTTACACATCGTCTTCCATGCTGCTTCTTTCTGTAATGTGGGCGTGGGTGTCAGCACAGCTCCAGGCGTTGTGTTTATTTTATTTTTTACATTTTTTAAGGTGCAGATCTACATGCTAGCCATGTAGAAAGGCATGACTGAGGTGCCTTGGTTGGTTCACTGAGCATTGGCTGCTGCAGTGGGGCTGGGACCCCCACTGAGGTGCGGGGACCTGTGCCAGGTCCTCTTGTACCCCGTGTCGGTCGATGCCCCGAAGTGGCTAGGGGATCTGGTGCTGCCCGGGGACGTGGGCTCGGAGGTTCAAGCACTGAGAGCAAGCTGGGGCCGGAGGAGCAGCCGGCAGGACTTCTGCAGGCAGTGCCATCGCCTTCGGCTATCCTAAGGGCTAGGAGCCGGCCACCTTGCAGGAATTGGGGCACCCTCGCTTCTGGTGCAGTCGTGGTTGTTTTAAGGGATGCCGAGCTGGGGGAGGACCCTCTGACACCATGCCTGCAAAGTTATATCAACAAATGTAGACTTCTTCCTTTTCTTTTCTTTCTTTTTTCTTGGTGGGCAAATCAGGGAGCACAGAACCACCCCAAATCACACCGCTGCGTCCAGGTAGGAGTGAGATGGGCGCCGGCTGCCTTTTGTAGTGGTTTGTTGCTGTTTGCAGGCTTAAAACTGCGCGAAGCCCTCTTGTTGCTGGCTCTCTGAAGGAGGCTTGAACCTGAGCTCACGCCGTTGGAATTCCCCGCTGTGCCGGGAGAGGCTCCTCGCCTCCAATCGCTTCCAGATGCCGTTTCCACTCCTTCAGCTGTTCCTCTTGCAAAATGTCTCCAGCCACCCCTCCCTGAGCTGCTGGTGGTGCTGGGGCCGGGCTCAGCGTCCCCGGTGTGCAGGGACACATTGGCTGAGCCCAGCGTCAAGCTCCCTGCCCTTGGCTCATTGGGGTGATGGGATGAGCCCCTCGGGCTGCGGAGCCCTGAGTCAGACCCTGCTCTGCGGCTTACGCCAGGGCTGGGGCTGTAAAGCTGCTTCCGAAATTTCTGTCTCCTGCTGGAAGTGAGTGCTGCTGAGGAGGGGGCTTTGCTCCGCTGGGAGGTGCGGGGTTGCCGCCGGCGTTGTGCTGGGTTTCACAGCCCCAGGACGATGCTGTCCCCTTCCCTGCGTGCCCACCGCCGCAGTGACACTCGATGGGCGGCGCGGTGCTGGCGGGGATGCAGCTGAGTGCAGGCGGAGGGAGAGAGCCAGGCACCCTCTGCTAAGCAAATGCACCGGGCATGTTCCCAAAGCACGGAAATGTGGGCAGGGGCTGTGATCCCAGGCTGGCCGAGCCCTCTCCCTGCCGGCCTGCCAGCTGGGCATAGTTTTAATTTCCTTTTAAAAACACGAGCTGGGCTGGAGGCCGGGGCTGGAGGAAGGCAGTGGTCTGCCTGCAGCCGAGGCGCCACGGCCGGGGCTGGCTGCGTCCCTACTGGGGATTTGTCACCACAGGGACGCCGGCACGGAGATGGGGACTGAGGTTCTGGTGGCACGCTGGGGCTGGGGGCAGCACCGTGGTGCCTGCCCCAGGGCATTTGTTGCGCTTTGGGGTACAAGGGGAGGGTGACCGGGGAGGATGAGCGTCTTCCCATCTTGCTGGGGGTGTTTGGGGCTCCCTGCCTCTCCTTCTTGCCGTCCTCAGCCCTATTTCACCCCTGGCAGTTTTGGGGGAGGGAGTGATAGTGAGGGAGAGGAACCAAGTCCACCCTGAGTTATTTTTATTTATTTATTTATTTTTGTGATGGCAAGCAGAGGGGGCACCGATTTGAGGTTTTGCTGGGGAACTGGAAATTTTTGCAAAATGGAAAAATCCTCCTGGGGGTGGAACTGACCCCACAGCCCCTGCTTGTCCAGAAACCAGGCTGAGACCCCCTGCCTGCAGGGGGCACGTGCCAGCCGTGCCTCCAGCTCGCAGAGCTTCTCCAGCCCGGCAGCAGGGCAGGGAAATGCCAATGAATCATTGAGGATGCCTGATGTGGTTCCTCGTCCTGCTGCAAACTTGCATTTCTGGGATTTTGCTGATGGAAAACACGGCTCTTGGCCCTTTCCAGCTCTCTCCTGGATTTTCTTTGCTGCATGGTGCCCGAAAGCCTCGAGCCCTGTTTGTTTTGCTCTAAAACTGCAGGCGAGCCCTTTGCTTCTCGGAGGGCCGAAGCGCCACCAATTCCCCGTTTGCTTTGGGTTTTGTCCCACGGCACACTCTCCCGTTTCAAGAGCCAAGCTGAAGAGCCTGCAGTCCTGCCAGGGACAGTTAAGCTGCTAATAAAACAGTCTTTAATTGTGGTGATTGTAAGGAGATTATTTCCCTGGCCCGCGTTCAGCTCGGACAGTTGCTTTGTGTTGTCTCCCTTCCCTTGCAGCCAGGTTTTCCTCCCTGGGACATCGGGGCTGATTTTCCCTGGGGCATTCCTGTGCCGGGTTTATCTCTAGCTTTGGGGTGGCTGTGGTCCCTGGTTCCTCCATGGTGTTTGTGGCTTTTGGGGTGCTGGCTACCCGCAGCATCCGTGCTGGCCGGTTTCTCCGTCCTCTGCCCTGCCTGCACACCCTCCCCAGGCACGTGGAGCTGGTTGAGCAATGCCATTGTCACCCTCCCTCCCTGGGGCAAGCCCAGTGCGCCCTGAGCTGGGTTGGCCCTATTCTGCATCCCCTTGGGATGCTGTGACGCTGCTGGTCCAGGGTCTCCTCCATCTGCTCACCGAAGGGACCTGAGGGCCTCAGCATCCCTGTCCAGGAAGCACCTGAGGATGCCAGTGGGGCTGCTTGTGTCCACCTGTGGCTTTTTGGAGGTGGCCAGGACCGTCCTGGCCACTTCCCTACCACTGGGTCACACCCGGGTGTATCAGAGGGCGTCCAGCTCCTCTCCACTTCCTTCCCTCTGTAGTGCAGGGGACATGGGGTCAGGCAACTCCCCATGCCAGGCTTGGGAAGCTGCAAGCTCAGATTTTGCATCTTCCATCCCTGAGCTGTGCCCGCGCCTCTTGATTTGTCCAGCCTGGGGTGTGCAGATGTGCGTGGAGCCACCCGCGCCCGGCGAGCACCAGGAGCTGAGCAGCTTCACACAGCGCAAAGACTGAGAGGGACTGGGGTGAGAGTGGTCGGGGGGACTGGGGGAGAACGGGAAGCAGGAAAAATGCCCTGAGAGAGGGGATGCGGGGGCATGTGACGCCACCATGGACTGTCAAAAAGTGGAGAAAGAGAGAGACGGAGAGCACGGGGGTCGGGTGGGCTGTGGGACGTGGAGGTGGTGCCAGAGCTCGGGAGAATGAAGGGAGGTGGGGGTTAAATGAAACGTTGCCTCCTCGCTGAATTAAGCTGGAGAACAAGGCGTCAGCACAGCCAGGAACTGCGCCAAGGGCTGGAAAGTCCTCGGGCCCATCCCTGTATGATAACCGCTGCGGCTTCCAAAAAAAAAAAAAAAGGAATGACAAAGAAAGGCCTGTCTCCATCCCCCGAACGTGTTGTGGCCTGGGCTGGTACCTGGGCTCTGGACCCCAGCCCGTGTTCCCAGAGCAAGGCGCAGCTGCCGTGGAGCTGGGCTGCAGCTCTCCAGGCCTCATCGCTGTGTAATTAACAGTGTAGCTGCTTGATTCAATCTGCATTTACAAGTTAAATTGACAGATTATCTGTATTATGTAAATGCACATTTAAATCTTAATTATTTGCCTGGCTCTCCTCAATGCATTGGATGTCTGGAAATCAGCCGCTTTATGCTTGCTGGGTTGGGGATGTTCCTTGTGTGTAAGCACGGAGCTTTTCTAGGAAGCATCTGCGTAGAAAACAAAAATAGTCTTTTTTTTTTTTTTTTTTTTTTTTGATAGCAAAACTTAATTTTAACCCCGGTGCCATGCTCAGCTGCTGCTCTGAGAGGTGATTTTTGCCTGATGTGGGGCACTGCTGGCTGCTGGGGGATGTTACGCATTGCTAAACAGGACTGACTGCACCCTGACTGCAATTCCTTGTGCCTCTTCCTTCCCTGGCACTGCTTTTTTGGGATCCCCGGCTGTCATTACCCCTGTGGCCGGAAAGTGGCCAGATGCTATCCTTGTTAAATATCTGCTAAATGAATAATCTCCTGGCTATCTCATGCGCCATCATTGCTGTTGCCTCCATCGCGGGGCGATAGCGATCGGGATGACGTGACGGATGTGCCGGGCTTGGAAACGCTCCTGCCGTGCCAAGCAGAGGAGCGGTGTCTGGGTGAGGATGATCTCACCTGGATCGTGTTCCCCTCCCCGCGCGGCTCTTGCTCTCCCTGGGGAGGTAATTTTAAACGAGGGCAATGGCTCAGTGAAGGTCTCGCGCCGGAGCACGGACGGACAGACAGACTGAGTCGGTTCAGGTCTGGCCAATGTAAGGAGGAGACTCGCTGGTGCTCGGGCTCCTCTTCCTCAAGAGGTTGTTTTTTTTGGGGGGGGGGGAAAGCAAAAACATTTGGAGTTTTTTTGGCAGGAGCTGTTGAGAAGGCAGCGTGAGCGCAAGGAAACGTGATCCTTCCTCCCTGCCCCTGGGAGACGGAGCCAAGCCTGGGGGCGGAGGGGGTGGCACCGGGGCTGGGTGCCCATGCAGCCCCTGGGGGGCCAGCACCACCGTGTGCCGTTTTCCTTCCAGCTTGGGAGCGCCATGGGGAAGAGCAGCTTCACAGGGTGTGCGCTTTATTGTTTTATTTTTGTTTTTGTTTTTTAAAGAAAGCTACTCGATTCGCAATGAAGAGGGAGCACAGTTTCCAGGAGCAGCTTGTCCTGACGGAGCTGGGGAGGAACAAGCAGTCGATGAATTAAAGATGGGTGGAAAATGAACAAGGGAAAGTGCAACCATCAGCTGGACGGGTAGGAAAACACCGAGCCTGTTCAGGGCTAAACAAATCATTAAGTGTGTGTCTCCGGCCAGGGACAGCGAAGAAAGCTGGGGTTGGGTTTATTCTGTAGCATCACTGAGGGGTGCACTGAGCACTGCAGGGGGCAGAGATTGCTGATTTTAATCTTTAAAGCTGGGCTGTGCTGGGGAGGTTTTGGGGCAGTTGAGCTTTTGGCTCCCTGGGGAAGGCTTCTGCATGGTGGTGATGCCACGTCCTCCGGTGCTGGCGTTGGTGGGTTTTTAAAAGTTGTTGTGAAACTTGAAGGTGCAGGGAAGAGCAGATAATGCATTGAGAGCTGCGGTTTGAGTCAGTCAGAGAGGTTGTGGTGCTGCCTTGAGAAGGCAGGAGCTGGAAACCACCGGCCATATAAACCATCTGGAAAGGATTAAATACGTGTGGGGGTAAGGATGAGCTGCCCCTCCACACCACCTTTGGAGGTTGTTGCCTGCACGCGGCATCGCTGGGAAGCACTCAGCACCCATGGGGAACAGGCACGTGGCACAGCCCCCTAGTGCAGAGCCCAGGGAGGAAGAGGAGCAAAGTTCAGCTCTTTTTTTTTTCTAATATCCCTGCTGTTGTCCATGGGGATGCTCCTCCCTCCCTGTGCGAGCTGTAAGAACGTTCATTTCCTGGCCAGGTTAGCTGTGATGCTGGGTCACAACGCCTGCGGCATCGTGCTGCTGGGGCCCCTTGTGGCACGGCACGCTGAGATGGTAGCCCTTGGCCGGGGAGGTGCCTGAACAGTGTGCTTTTGCCAGACCTCAGGCTGGGAACAACTAATTGCGCTGGTTAACAAGGGGGAGCCTTTGAGGAGAGGAGGATGCCAGGATGTTGATGCAGGGAGCCTCCTCTGGCCCTTTACACCTGGATTTCCATGTGTGAACCGTCCCTGCTCCCTCCTGGGCTGCTCAGGAGGTGACACAAGGATGTAGGACCTTGAGTAAGGCTGGAAAACGCCACGAAGTGGTGGTCCTGTGGGGAGAAACAATCGTCTGCAGCTTGCCAGGATCCACCAGTGATTGCTCCTGGCCCTTCTTGTTGAGCTGGAAATACCTGCTTTCGGCAGATCCTCCCGGAGCCCTGCTGCTCCTGAGCAGTTCTGGGAGGTTGGTGAGCCTTAATGGGCTTCGATAGGAGCCTGCTTTGCTATGGGGTCTGCCATCTGGACAGGACCCACCGGGCCTGCTGCAGAGGAGGAGGCAGCCCCTTGGCCCCCCTTGCAGGTCCAAGCATCCCTGTCCTGGTGCCGTGCCACGCCGTTAAGTGCTTTAGCAGGAGCTCTCAGGGGGGAGTTTAGCCTCATTAACAAATCCTATAATTCATGGTTCTGAATAAAAAGGCTCTGGCTGCTCTGGTCCTGGCTCGCCTCCCTGCATTAGCTGCATTGCCCTGGGGCACTGGCTCAGCCTGCTGCTCTCCCTCTGGCCGGGACATCACCGTCTGGGTATCCCGTGCTGTTTCCCTGGGAAATGCAGGCGTGCCCACAAAGCTGGTAATCCCCCAAAACACAGGAAGCCAAATCTATGGCTGCTCAGGTGAATGCAGGGCTGGTTCAGCTGCTGGAAGGATGCTTGGGCAGGAGGGCTGCTTGTTAAACGGTTTGGCCACTTGCAGCGTGGCCCCAGGTGTGTCTGGTTTGGCTGTGGATTGTGGTGAGCTGTGCTTTATTTGCTCCCTGTGCAGAAATGCAGGGTTTGCAGCTGGCTGAGCCCCTGGTCCAGCCTTGCTCCCAAGGGCATCTGTGGAAAGCCCAGACCTTGGATGCGCTGAGCACTGGGAGATAAGCACCGAACCCTGCTGATGGGAGAAGCTGGTGGTGATTTCCTTCCTTGCTTTAGTAAACACACTTTAGCTTTCCTCTAGCTGGGATCTAAAATTAGCTGAGAGTTGCGCAAGCGAGCAGCATGCGGTGCTGTGGGTGCTGTGCCGCCTCTCCCAGCCCACGTGCCCCAGGGAAGGGTGGCAGCACCGTGAGCACCGCGCCTCTCGCATGTACTTTCCCCAGCTGCAGGAAGCTGGAGATACAGGGCAGGAAGAGCAAAAAGGATCAGGGAGAGGACGTGGTGCCCCCCTGGTTACCCTCACATGACCCATGGGCGCAGAAAACCCTGCGCTCGCCGCACCAGTGAGCAACAGCGGGGGCAATGTATGGGACGTGCTCCTGGCGTGATGTGTCACTTAACCCTGATGTTCGTGGCGTGTAGGAGCACAGATATGAGAGCAAGGAAGATGCTTTACAGAGTTCTGGGCACTGGGAGTTTTTCAGCCCCCGTAATCCCAGCACTCAGCATTTCCACTCCGAGCACGGGCTGGGGCATAGCGCGGTGGAAACCTTGGCTCCTTCGGCAGAGGGAAGACGTGGGACGGGCCCCACTCGCAAGCAGAGGGAAGAAAGGCCCTTTTGTTCGGTGCTGGTGAAATGGGATGTTTTGTCACCACTGGATTTTTTTTTTCTTTTTTCCTTTTTTTTTTTTTGTTTTCTTTTTCCCCTCCAAAACTCAATTCTGCCAAAATCGCCTTGATTTTTGTGAAGCGTTTTGGTTTTGATGGAACGGCGTTTTCCAGTGGAAAACTCCGGCGTTGTGGCTTTGCCCCCTGGGACATACAGCTTTCCTCTGTAACCTGGGCCAGCTTTGCCTTGCCCCGTGCGAGCAGCTGCAGTCTTGGCCCCCTCTGGGGCCACCCAAACCCCAGCCCGTGCTCAGGAAAGCAAATCTGGCCCACATCCACCCCTAACCTAGAGCTGGGGGCAGCAATGGGCTCAGCCCACCCCTTGCTGCAGGATGCGGCTGGCTCCTTTTCCTGCTTCACCCCACCTGGCTCCTCATTAGCTGGGGTAATTAAGCTAGATGCAGAACAGCTGTCCCTGCCCTGCTGCAAGGAAAGCGGTTTCTCTTTCCAAAGCAGTGCAGCAGAAGGGGTTTTGTGCATGGAAACTTCTTGCTGGGGGTATTTTTTTCTTCCCCATACTGTCTGTGGTGGTGAGATGCTGGTGTGGCGCCAACGAGGATGTGGAAATTAGAAAGTTTGGGAAAAGTGAAGCTGGCTGCAAAGCCACGGGGCTAGAGAGAGCTGGGGCAGGGCAGTGCGTGGGGAAGGCACCCGAGAATCCCAGGGGGCGGGCAGGGGCTGGAGTCCTCCCTTCTGCAGGAGGCATCACCAGGGACCTGCCAGGGTCTCTGTTGGCTTCCTAAAAGGCCGGGTGAGTCACCAGAGGGGATTTCAGCAGGAAGATTCAAGAGGGTAGGGGAAATCCAGCTGCCCCTTGGTGGGGGTTCCTTTGTAAAGCAGCCCAGAGCGTGGCCCCTGCCAGCGCTCGGGGACGTGGGTGGTTCTGTGGCCACGCTCTGCCACACACGGTGGCCTGCTGGGGCAGCTCGGAGCAGCCCTGGGTGGCTCCTGCACCCTTGTAGCTACAGAAGGGTGGGATCAGCAGGACCTGATGCATCTGGGTTGTCACTGGGATTTTTGGGGTGCGTGCTCCTCTGAAGCCAAGCGCATCCTGAGCATCCCTCGCCCGCTGCCATTGTGCTGAGCCTCTCCCCGTTTTTCCTTTGCCAGGGGAAGAGAGGATGGACCCGTAGACCCCCAGCCCTTGGAGACCCTGTCCCCTCTGCTCGCCTCGCAAGGACGGACCGTAAGTATCCACTGCCTCCTTCCTGCTCCGTGTGGTTCCCCCGCAGCATCCCCACACGGGGGGCACCCGATTCAGCCCCTCCTGCTGCAGGGGGGTGCCCATTGGGGTGGGCTGGGGCCGAGGGGCCGTGGAGCAAGGCTCTAGATGCAAATGGACGGGTGGGCTGCAAGTGCTGCCAGGAGGGTTATGGGGCACCCTCCGCTGCCATGAGCAGCTTGAGGGAAGGGAGAGTGTGTGGGGGGTGCTCAAACTCCCCAGTGCGTGTGGTGGGGACACTCGCCCTCCAAGGGCACATCCCTCCTGCTTTCCGCAGCTCGATGCATCCCTTTTCCCTCCTTGTTGTGTTGCCACAGAGTGCGTTGGCTGGGAGCTGCCTTCACCTCGCTGGTGCTGTGGGGTCAGGATGAGGCAGAAGCCCTCCAGGCACCCTCTGGTATCCCCGTGTGGCTCCCTGTCTCCCCCAGCTGTCCCCAGCTGGCAGCTCACCAGTGAACATAGATGGGATGCTCACCCAAAGCATTCTATTTTTGTATAAAATAACAAAAGAGCAATGAAAGCCGACGATAAGACCTTGCTGCACAAAGAACGGAGTTGCTGAGCTTGCCAGGCTCAGGTGTAATTGAACAAATCCGAAATGATCAGATGGGAGCCGCTGCTGTACTGCAGAGGCAGCTCTGTGTCCTGCGATGTGGAGGATGCTGGTGGCTGCAGGAGGGTCAGGGCATGAATTTGGGGTAGGGGGTACCCCAAAGGCTTGAGGTGCTGTGGTACTGCCGCTTGTTGCAACTGAGTTTGAGAGCTCCTGAGCTGAAATCTGTCTTAAAACAAGCAGCATGGAAGAGCGAGTGGGTGAAACTTGTGGGAGGAGCAGCCTGGGCTGCTTATTTTGGAGACCTGCAGCCATGTGAACACTCGTCCAACCCAAGCCTCTCCCCATGGGGCTATTTGCTCTTCTGGGAGAGGTCTCAGCGCTTTTTGTAGTAGTGTTGAAGAGACAATCTTACATTTTTTGACCCTGGATGTGCCATGGGCAGCCAGGGCAGCCCAGGGGTGACCTCTAGGTGCTGTTTGCCAGCTTCCAAATTGCTTTGGTCACAGGTAAATATTATGTTAACACTCACCTGCCTACAAGGGTTTTTTCGCTATCGTAAATCTTTGGTAATTTTTTTGTATGGCTGAGATACCACGTGCTAAGGCTAAACACTGCCGTCCCCATTAGAAAGCTATTGAGATTGTCACAAAGAGCATTTAAAACGGTCTGGGGCTCTTAAAATGTGATTAGTGGTGTCTGCCCCAGACTTGTGGGCTCATGGTGGTGGGATCCCAAAAGGACCCCTGCGTTTCCTTCCCAGCTTGGAAAAAACCCGAAGGCCGCTGTGCTGCCAGTGTGTGATCGCAGCCTTTCGGCAGGGTTTTGCCAAGGTGTGCTCAGGATCCCACCAGCAGCTTTGACAAGCGAGCAGCCCCCGGGGTGCAGGGTGTTCCCGTGTGCCCCATCACCACCTCTGTATAATTTTCCTCCGTCCCTCCTAGGAGCTGAGGCTAAGGGGGTGGCTGTTGCTGTCCCAGCTGCGTTTTGGGGTGCTGGGGAGCTGACTGCAGCATGGAATCTCCCTATCCCTACTCCTCTGCCCGTGGCCAGGTTGGGGCAAGCAGTGCGAAACAGCCTAAAAAGCAAAATTGCTTGGCGGGGAGATGGCTTTTCTCAAACCTGTGGCTTCCTCCACCCGAGCATAGGGTGCAGAGGTCTCACCATGGCAAAATCCACCCTGCAGCTGGGTTATGTGGCTGGTTTGGTGCCATGCAGCTGTCCTGCACCTCTTTTTGGCAAACCAGCTTGTATTTCGTGCACATCCCCTCGTCCGTAGGAGGGTTGGGCATCTCCTCCTGGGTGGGAGCTTCTTGGTTGCAGAGCCAGGCGTCGTGGGGAAGCTGATGCAATGTGGGTTTAATTCAGCCTGGATTGAATCGGCAGCCAGCGGTGCTGGAGGTGCACAGGAATTAGAAGAGCAACTCTTGAGCCGTTCCCTCTCTTGTTTCAAGCACCACAGGGGGAGAGGTCTTGGCAAGGAGGGTGCTGCCCGGATGCCAAATGCCCTGGCAAGCTGGAGAGCCAGGGGTGCCGCCTGTCGGGTGGCCCCGCCGGGATGGGAGGGCGCGGGGGGCTTCGGGGGTGGTGATGGAGAGGCTGGGACACGCAGAGGCAGTGTGCCCCCAGCCAGGCTGTGTGTGGGGGATCCGACATCTGACGGATTCCTCTGGTAATTGGGGCCGTAAATCCTGCCGAAAGCTGTTTGATTCTGTATCAGCACCTGAGTGCTCCCCTGCGCTGAAATGCACGCGCCTGCTGCTGCCAACACCTGGGGCTTGCGGGGTGGTTTCTCATTAGCTTGCCTCTCCTGGAGGTCCCTCAGCGCAGCTGAGGAGGGGGTGAAGAGCTGGGATCAAAGCCCCCCCACGTGGATTCCTCCCTCTGGGGAGGGTGCGGAGCTGTTCTGGGGCTCGTGGTGTTTCAGCGTGTGGGTGATGGATGGGGGAAGTGATGGTCCAGCTTGGGGCTAGGGGGTTTGTGCTGTCCTGTGCGTCTCCATCAGGTCTCTGTTGCTAAATGTGAGTCCCTGGGGGCTGCCAGCACATCCCTTCCTTGGTGTAATCCCCTCCAAATCCACCTCTGCTCCAGTTTCATAAAACCCCACGTGTTTCTGGGGTGACCTGCTGGGGATGCTCGTTCGTGTTTGGCAGCACAGGGAGGGGTATTTGGAGCAGGAGGTGCCCCTGCTCCCACCGAGCCTGGGGACAGAGGGAAGTGTCCTCTCACTGTGTCAGCCATCGTTTTCAGAATTTCTGGGTTACCATGGTAACACGAAGGTATGGTGTGTTTCTTGGGGTGGTCCTCGGCTGCTGGGTGGGATTGTGTGGTGCTGGGACAGGGTGAGGGCATCATACTCTCTCCAGTGCTTGAAATGTATTTTTATTTTTTTTATTTTTTTTCCAAAGATGGGCTGGGAACAGCGTGGCCAGTGCCTTCTGCCGCTTTGATATTTGCAAATTACAGAATTACAGAATTACAGAATTTCTAGGTTGGAAGAGACCTCAAGATCATCGAGTCCAACCTCTAAATCCAACACAGCAGAAAAACAGAACCCTGGAAAGCATCTGCTTTCCACCTCGCAGCTTGCTGTGATGCTGACCCCATAAATTAGATGCCTTGAGTGCATCCCAGCCCAGGCTCCAACAGCTGGGTGCCCCAAACGTGGCAGGGGAGCAGAAAATTGTGCCAGGCATCGCCCGGATGGGATGCATGGGGGCAACTGCTGCAGCCCTGAGCCCTCCTTGTTCTCTCGATGCTCTGAAATCATTAATGGTCTAATTGCGGTCCGGGCAGGCGAAACGGTGGGCAGTGAATCGCAGCGTGTTGTGACAGCAGCAAAAGCTGTTTTGTGCCCGGCTGCTGCAGCTTGAAGGGTACAGAGGGAGCAGAGCCCCTTGGCTTTGTGTCCACAGGGGAGTTTGCGTGCAGCAGGGATCTGGCACTGTGCATCCAGCAGGTACAAGCCCCACGGGGCTTCCTGATCCTTGCAAACGTTTTGCGCTTCCCTTGTGCTCTCATCCGTTTGATCCACGCTGGTTGCTCTTTGTGCTGAGTTGGGGCAAGAAACCCTGCGCTGAGGTTTTAACCTGCGGCAAGGGCGATGCTCGCGTGGGGCTGGGGAAGGGGAGACCTGGCTGCGAACACAGGCGCTGCATCTGGCAGCCGCAGCGCTTTCAAGTAATCCGAGCGGCGATAACGTTCAGCCTGGGGGCGTTGTGGAAGTGAGATGTGCAGACATCAAAGAAAGGGGTTTTTCGGCTGTCTCTTTGAGGAGAAGCTCCAAATCTCACCCTGCCAGCCAGGGATGCGGCAGGGCCAGTGGGATGCTGGAGCTTCCAGCCATGGGACGGGGGAACTGGCTGGGTTCGCTCACACCTCCATGCTTTGGGGAGTTTGGGCTGCAGATCTGGCACTGCCAGGCTGGGGGAGGCTGAACTATTACCAGAGCCCCTCCTTTGTGGCCTTGGTGTGAGGGCAGCCTGGGTGTGCTCTGTTTTGCTCTGCATTCCCCAAACTGCCTCACTGAGCAGTGCTCATTTTCCTCAGAACTATTTAGTTGTTTGTCTTAGATTAGCTTTACATAAGGCCCAGCTTGTGCTTACAAGCCTGAATAAAAGATCATAAAGCCTGGAAGGTGGTGGTGGTGGGGGGGGAGAAGTATTTTAAAGAAGCCACTATGTAAAAGCAAAGAGTGGGGGTGGGAGCTTGCTTTCCTGGTGTTGGAGCATCTCAGGCCGGTGGGAAGGAGAAGCCACTTGCTGCATAGCTCGATTGCCTGGGTTTGGTGCTGAGACAGAGCTCGGAAGCAGATGGAGTGTGTGTCTGTGATAAATTTGGGCCGTGACGCCCAGGCCTGGGCTATAGCATTGGTGCTGGGGCACCCGAGGGGCATCCTCAGCCTCCAGCTGCACATTTTCCCTCTGGAATTTGGTGGCTGGTTTTTGCTTGGAAAAATAACCCCAAACAAAACTCTTGCAGGCTTTTAACTTTTCCTCTGATTTAAATCTGTTTATTTTTCGCAATCACGACGGGGGAAGTAGTGAAAGCTGGGGGTGCTTGGTGTCCCGATTGCTGCCCTGGGTCCCTGGGAGGCTGCAGCCCCCAGCAGGGTGCCGGCCCAGCTGGTATCTGCTTGGCCTCAGAGCCAGGGGATCCCTTTGCAGGGGACACGCAGGGACTTTGTCCCCGAGCAGAAGGCATATTTCAGGCTGGGACCTGCTGTCTCTTCCTCCCTGCTCGCTCTGGGCCTTTGGGATGCAGCCGTGTCCTTTTCCCTCTCCCTCCCTTCAGATTCCTCTTGCAAGGAGGGGTTTGCAGCTGTTGTGGGGTGGGATGGGTTTTCCAAGTGTGTGGGGGATGCTGGCACTGTGAGCTGGGGGCATCCTTGGCTTTCTCATCCCTCCTTTAATTTTTTTTTTTTTGGGGCTATTGACACCAGGTGTTACCCGACAGTTTGTTATCTGTACTTTGTGAAGGAGATAAGATCCAGTGTGAGACAGGTAGTTTCCCAAAGTGCAACACCTCTTATTCTCATCCCTTATCACCAATATCAAATGTACATGGTTTTCTGTGCTTTATATCCTGCCTTGTTGCTTGCAGCACCATTCCATTGTGCTCACTACTCTTTCTTTTCCGGCGCTGCTGATAAGGAAGGTAAGAGCCTGGCACACCCCCGGCTCCTGCGGGGTCCGTCTTGGACCCTGCTTCCTCTCTTCCTTCCTTGATTTTGCTAGTGATGCCCCAAAAGCCCCAGCAAACACCAGTTTTGCTGTCACTGCTGTGCTGGGCGGGGGCCGGGTGATGGATGGCCACGCTGGCTCTTCCTGGGGCAGGGAGGCACGACGTGCCCCTGAGCGGCACTGGGTGCCCTCCCGTGTGACTAATCCCTGAAGCGCCTCCTCGTCCTCTTCCGAGAGGCAGCTGGGGACAGGCTGTGCTTGTTGCGGGGTGCCCGAGCTGAGCCGAGCTGCCAGGAGCCCATCTGCATGTCACGGGTAGAGAGGAGCCATCCCCGGGGAGCGATTTATTGGGGAGCGGGGCTTCCTCCGTGTCCCCTGCTTGGCAGGTGGTGCCCGAAGCTTCTCCCTCCTGGTAAGTTCATTCTGCAGCCCCGGTGTTTGCATTGCAAAGTGGTGGCGCACCCGCTGCCTGGGAGGGGGGCTGGTCCCTCCTGCCTGCTGTCACACTTTGCATCCTTAGGGCACGAGTCTTTTACAAAGCCTCTGGGGTTTCTCCAACACTGGCTGTGATGCTGTGAGAGCCACTGGGATGTCCAGGGGCATTTGGGGAGGATGGCCAACACCTGCCAGCATCAGCAAGATGGAGATCTTGACAAGTATGAGTTAATTAGGGGGCTGTGTTTGAGCAAGAGCCATCACTGAGCACCCAAGCTGGTGATTGGGGCTTGCTCCACTAGCAGGCACCCACCCCGTGGCAAGTGAGCATCACGCACCGCTGGGGAGGACCTTGTTAGTCACTTCAGTTAGCCACGGGAGGTGGCTAATTAGGGAAGCCTCCAGCTGAGATGCTCCCGCATGACCTGGGACTGGCTTTGACCACAGCCGTTTGCTGGCTTCTTCTAGGAGCAAGAGGGTTCGGAGGAAGAAAAATTCACCCTGTTTCCAGTGCTGGTGTGTGTGCTAAACTTACGGCCCCTCTGCTGTGGGGCTTCCCCAGGCTGGGATGCTTGAATCGAAGGCGTTGGAGGTTTCCCAAGTATGTGACGTGCTTTAATTTGGGGGCTGTTTTGCTGCTTCTGTGCTTTCCGCTTGGCTCAGCAGCGTCGGGCTGGTGCAGTGGTGGTGCTAGTTGAGTGCCCGAGCTCAAAATCCCCCCCACCCCCTTAAAATTCCCCCAAAGTCACGTGTTAGCAAAGGATGTGCTTAACCTCCCCCAGGGTCATCACTACGGGCACTGAGGGTTAGAAACTGGGGCGGGCACGTTGTGGTTCTGTGATTTGAGCTGTAGGCACAAACTCATTTTTCCTCTTTAACTCATTTTTCTTTCTTAATCTCTGCATTCATCTGTATGGTGGAGACTCCTCAGGAACCATTTTTTTAATCGCATTTATAAACTCCGGGTGAATCAGCTGTAGAAATGAAACCCTTGGTGGATGTGGGTCAGGGAAACCCGTATTTAAATGGGAATAAACCAGGGGGCAGCCGCCTGTGGGGAGGTGCAGGTGGGTCTTGCTCCTCTTGGCTGGAGGTTGTAGCGCCTTGCAGCGTGGGATCCCCTGGGGCCACGGGGAGAGCCTTCCCCATGCTGTGTTTTTGGGGAAAGGCCTGGTTTTGCCTGGCAGATCTGAGCTGATGCTTCTCTCCCCTCTTGCTCCAGGTGACCGGTGGCAGCCGCGATGAGAGCTCCGGCCCTCGGCTGATGCCTGCCCTGGCGATAAAGATGATCAACAAGTCCCGTGAGTTCCTGCTGCATCCCCCCCTCCATGACGGGGTGCTCCCAGACCCCTCCTGTGCCCCCTTCCCTCCTTCCCCAGCCTGCGTGTGGTGTCGAGCCCTTCTATGTGTGGATCCCCAGCAGGGATGGAGTCAGGGGCCCCGGAGTTTGCACTTGAACCCAGGCCCATTGGGGGCAAGGTTGCTGTTGGCTGCAGCTCTCGCAGGGATTTTCTTCATTCAGGTGCAACGTGTGTCACCGGCACAGCCACAGGGGAGTGAGCACCTCAGGGTGGCCTCCGTGGTAATGCCTGTGTGGTTTGGGGACAGGCTCATGGGGCTTCATTGCGGGCTGCAGCCTCTCTGTCCAGCAGGGGTGCTGTTTGAGTGCTCCCTCCTCTTCCCCTGCAAACCCCTTCTGATCCTGGCTTGTATCAGAAGCAGTGTGGCCAGCAGGGCTAGGGAGGTGATCGTCCCCCTGTACTCGGCTCTGGTGAGGCCGCACCTCGAGTACTGTGTTCAGTTTTGGGCCCCTCGCTACAAGAAGGACATCGAGGTGCTTGAGCGGGCCCAGAGAAGGGCGATGAAGCTGGTGGGGGCCTGGAGAACAAGTCCTACGAGGAGCGGCTGAGGGAGCTGGGCTTGTTCAGCCTGGAGAAGAGGAGGCTCAGGGGCGACCTTATCACTCTCTACAGATACCTTAAAGGAGGCTGTAGTGAGGTGGGGGTTGGCCTGTTCTCACACGGGCCTGGTGACAGGACGAGGGGGAAAAGTTGTCCAGGGGAGTTTTAGGTTGGATCTTAGGAAGAACTTCTTTACCAAAAGGGTTGTTAGACACTGGAACAGGCTGCCCAGGGAAGTGGTGGAGTCACCATCCCTGGAAGTCTTTAAAAGACGTTTAGATGTAGAGCTTAGGGATATGGTTTAGTGGGGACTGTTAGTGTTAGGTTAGAGGTTGGACTCATTGATCTTGAGGTCTATTCCAACCTAGAAATTCTGTGATTCTGTGAAACACAGCCCTGTCCCCATGCACACTTGGTTTTCTTTTCTCTCCCTCCTCCACCTGCCCTGCCACTGGCCCGCCAGAGCTCAGCACCCCTGCAGCACCTCTTGGCACTGCTCTGGGGCTGGGAGTGTGCGCCTGTTTGTGTCAGGCTTTGCCCTTCTCTTGTTTGTCCTTTGCGTGCACCACGCCAGCATCCGCGTTGCTCCTCTGGGTGTCCCAGCCACCCTCGGGTCAGTGTTAGAAATATGGGGTGGAGTGCGGGTGTGGGCACCAGAAAGAACAACATGTTTGTGTCACTTTTGATGCAAATGGTGCCAGCCGGTATGAGGAAGAGAGGCGGTGAGCTCTCAGCCTGGCCCAACAAACCCTTGTGGTTTGGATCTCCTGCCCTGGGCACTGTGCCAGCAGGGCCCCCGCCGCTCCCTGGGGACGTGGCTGGGCATAGAGAGAGCACAGCGTGGAGGGAGGCGTTTGCCAAGGTCAAACCACCTGGGTGATGGATCTGCCAGGACATCCTCAAAGCCTGGGGAGATGCCAATGCATCCGCAGGGCATGTTGGCCCTGGTCGTTTTGTCCCTCAGGGGCACGGAGCTGGCTGGCTCCAGAGTATGAATATTTGGGAGTGCTGCACGCGAGGCCAGGAGCACCTTGTGCAGTGCCTGGCTGTGGCAGGGACTGCAGGCAGGCGCAGACACTGAAATGTTTCCTAATGCTGACATCCACTGGCCATGCTGAACATTTCTTTCAGGGGTGCTGGAAAGCCCACGTGCTCCATGCGTTCAAAGCTGGGCAGATTGTAGCTGCGCAAAAAATGTATTGAGGAGGAAAATCCCTTAGGAAGGGAAGAATGTCCTGCATATCCCAATTTTCCTTCTCTTTCACCCCTTTCCTTGCAGCCTTCCCTTGGAATTGCCACATCCTTCTTTCCCTGCTTCCCTCCCTGCTGGGGTGGCCCAGGGCCAGGCAGGGTCTTGCCCCCTTGCCTGTCTGCAGCAGCCTGACAAGATTTTCTGTTCCCTTCTCTCTTGGCACACAGGAGGGAAGATACTCGGAGTGCTGGCACTGTTTCTGGTGATGGTGTGGTACTCGATATACCGGGAAGACAGGTACATACAGCTGTGAGTGTATTTTTTAAAGTTTAAGGGCCTCCTGCCCTTTCCTTTGCTCTTGGGACCAGGAGCATCTTGGTCCCAGGCAGACCTGGAGCCCACCCCTTGTGGGGGACAGCTCCCCACATCTTGCCATGGAGACAACTGGGAGAGGCCCGAGGTGGGGTGGCAGTGCCCTTGGCCCCTTCTGGAGGAGTGGGGCAGATGCCAGATCCCAAAGGTGTTCAAACCCCTGTGGGTTGGACACTGCCAGCATACTGCTGGCAAGGACGTGGGGTGCGATGAGCCCCACGGATGGGGTCTGTAGCCAGTTCTGGTGTTTTCCGAGCTTCTGGAGATGGGTGACAAAGGGAACCCTTTTAACTGGCACTTCTTTTCACTACTTCCCTTGCAGCTTTTATTTCCCCATGCAAGAAAACAAGACGGTGTGCCCTGTTGGCGAGGTGGAGAGGAAAGCGGCACAGCTCATCGGGAAGTGAGTAACAGGGAGGGGGCCCGGGGGCTGCAGAGCTGGGCCCCCCATCTCTCGGTCTCACTGGCGCTTTGCTCCTTGGCAGCTACACGAGGGACCACCCGCTCTTCTTGCAGCTGAAGGACTACTTCTGGGTGAAGACGCCGTCACTCTATGAGCTGCCCTACGGCACGAAGGGCAGCGGTAAGAGCTGTGAGGCCACCTCAGTGCCCGGTGGGCTGGATGTCTGTCCGTCCGTCCTGCCTGCCTGTCTGTGGGCTTCAGCTGCATGACTTGCTTTGGGGTTGCATTCACATGCATATCTATCCTTAAAATCAGCTCCAGGTTGATCTTTTTGGCTATTTTTTACTGTGAGCAAGCTCTGTCAGCTTGTGTTGAGACTTTAGGGTGTTTCTGCTTCCCCACGTGTGTGTTCCCTACAGAAGGAAGGGTACATATTTTATTGATCCCCGCTGAAGGATGGTCTGGGGGGCTGGGATTAATGCCCATATAGAGCCTGGCGGGTACGGGACAGGCACCAGGGCATTGAGGTGGCCATTGTCACCTTCCCCTTGCCATTGCTTTGCAGAAGATGTCCTCCTGCGCTTGCTGTCGGTCACCAGTTACTCGCTCCCCGAGAGCATCCAGAGGTAATGCTGGGGAAGGGTTGGGGTTTTTATGTCACTTTCCATGAGCGCTCCCCTTGAGGGAGCAAATTTGCATGCACCATTGTGCAAAGGGTGAACTGTCCCCTTCTGGCTCTGCTTGCCTGGTGGCATCACCAGAGACCTGTCCAGCTCCGTGACATGGGGACCAGCAGGGACCTGGGGACCAGCTCAGTGACCTGGGGACCAGCAGGCATGCAGGGATGGTGAATGGAGCACGGGAAGCTTTGTAGTCTGTGCAGCACAGGGTCAAAAACCCCTGCAAGGGTTAAAAACCCCTCATGGAGCATATCTGGTTCAGAGGGTGCTTTTTGCTCACAGCCTGAAGTGCCGGAGGTGTGCGGTGGTGGGCAATGGGCACCGGCTCCGCAACAGCTCCATGGGGGAGACCATCAACACGTACGACGTTGTGATCAGGTACAGCCCTGGGCATCTGTGTGACGTTCACCCCTGCCCAGTGCCACCCACAGGTGCTGGACACGTGTCACTTGCTGCCCAATGTCCCCATGTCCCGTGTCATCTGTCCCCGTGCCCCAGGCTGAACAACGCCCCGGTCCACGGTTATGAGCAGGACGTGGGCTCCAAGACCACCATGCGCCTCTTCTACCCCGAGTCAGCCCACTTCAACCCCCGGACGGAGAACAACCCCGACACGCTGCTGGTCCTGGTGCCCTTCAAGCCCATGGACTTCCAGTGGATGGAGGCCATCCTCAACGACAAGAAGAGGGCAAGTGTGGTGGGGAACTGGGTCCACCATGCCCCCAACAGCACCAGGGCCCAGCTCTGCCTGGATCCCACCCACCGCAGGGGATTCAGCTCTTACTGGGAAGGCAATGGGCATCTCCATCCTCTTGCAGGTTCGAAAAGGGTTTTGGAAGCAGCCCCCACTGATCTGGGATGCCAACCCGGAGCAGGTGCGCATTCTCAACCCATACTACATGGAAGTTACTGCTGCTAAGCTGCTCAACCTCCCCATGAAGCAACCGCGGAAGGTCAAGCAGGTGAGAGGGGTGGCCCTATCGAGCATCTTGAGTGGTGCCGAACGCAGGCTGCTTGGGTATGTGTGTGTGGGATCATTAACGGGCTCAAACCTGACAAAATGATGCTTTGTGGATGCTCCATCCCTGGAAGTGCTCAAGGCCATGCTGGATGGGGCTTTGGGCAACTTGGTCTGGTGGGCGGTGTCCCTGCCCATGGTGAGGGGCTGAACGAGAAGATTTCTAAGGTCCCTTCCAAGCCAAACCAGCCTGCGCTTCTGTGCTTTACCCTGGGGGAGGATTGGGTTTTCCTAGAATCATAGACCAGTTTTTGGTTTTGGGGCTGTCCCCATGGCTTCTCCATCTCCCTCTAGAAACCAACCACGGGGCTGTTGGCTATCACCTTGGCTCTCCACTTCTGTGATCTGGTGCATATTGCGGGCTTTGGGTACCCCGACTCGGCCAACAAGAAGCAGACCATCCACTACTACGAGCAGATCACGCTGAAGTCCATGGCTGTAAGTGTCATCCCCCCCTTTCCACTTCATGTCCATGACCTCCCCCCCAGTTTTACAGCCCTGGGGAGCAGGAGGGTTCGGATGAAGGTGTGGGGTCAACTCAAAGCTGTCCTGCGCTGGGGGGGCCAACAAGGTGGGGGGGCTGGGAGGACAGGGCATGGCTCCCCTCTGGTCTCATCACTCTCCTGGTGTCCCCCAGGCTTCGGAGCACAACGTCTCGCACGAGGCCGTGGCCATCAAGCGGATGCTGGAGCTGGGCCTCGTCAAGAACCTCACCTACTTCTGATGGCGCTGGGGCTGCGCAGGGACACGTCCCCGTCTCCCCCAACTTGCAGCCCCCCAGCGGTGGCCCTGGAGGAGCTGGGGGGGGGGGGCAGAGCATCGTCACCACCACCCCTGGACGCTGGGAGCAGGGGGCAGGGGGCTGGGGCCGCGCTGGCTCGCGGGTCCCCGGGGGCGCAGGGAGCCCCTCAGCTCGTCCCCCAGCCAGGGAGGGGACGCACGTGGCACCACTGCCAATGACTTTTCTTACAGAAACACTGAAGATAACAAGGACCTGAGGGGGGAGGGATGTTGGGGGTGGGTGGGGGGTGGGGATGAGGGCACGGGACCTCCCTCCCAGCGGGACTGGGGGGCACACAGGAGCCCCTCTCTTTAATTCCCTCGTATTTGGACGAGGGCCCTGAGGAGGGGCTGATGTGGGGGTCCTGGGGGGGGAGGGTCCCCTATGTGCAGGAGCCTTTGGGGGCTGAGTTGCTGCCTCCTTCCTGCCCTGGGCACCCCAGTATTTAATTCCTTCCTCCCTTCCCCCTCCCAATTTTTTATTTTCTTTTTACATGTTGGCCCAGCCCCGTGCCTTAGCGCTGGCGCGGGGGCTCATCCCCGCAGCCCCCCACCCACGGTGCCTGGTGTCGGGGTCCAGGGTGGCCCGTGGTGGGGTGAGGGGACGGGATGGGACACGGAGGTGACTCGGTATGCATTAATTTAATTAATTTAAAAGATTATTTATCGTGGGGCCTCCCCAGGTCCACTTCTCCCAGTGGCCTTGGGTGGGGTGGGGGGGTCATTTGGCTCCAGGGGTGCCGGGATCAGTATTTGGGGGCTCCCCCCTCCTCCGGGGGTGCCTTTCCCCACCTTGCTTGCCGGGGCACCCCTGTCCCTGGTGAGGCCGGGTCCTGCAAACCCCTGGTTGTGGGGGGGGCACCCTGAGACCCATGGACCTGGGGGTGCCGGGGGGCTCCTCCTGGCTCCTAATAAAGGTCCTGGTGAGTCTGGGCTGGGTCTTCCTGTGCCAGGATGGGGATGGGGGCAATGGGGGGGGGGGAGGTGTGTGAGTGGCACCCTGGTTATGTGCAGCCCTGCCGTGTGTCCCTGGGCCATGTCCTGGTGTCCCTGCACTCATGTCCCCGTGTTCAGGTCCCTGTGTCCTGAAGTGTCACTGTGCCTGGGCTGCATCTGTGTCCTCATGTCCCCGAGTGCCCCCGCCCATGGCTCCTTGCCCACAGGCACCCCAGCCCCTTGCTCCAGGCTCTGTCCCCGTGTCCTCAAGTGTACCTGGGGGCTGTGTTCCTGGGCTCATGTCCCGGTGTGTGTGTCCCCAGGTGCCCCAGCACATGTCCCAGGCTCCCTGTCCCTCCCCGCCCTTACCTGCTGTGTCCCTGCTGTGGCTCCCCACGTCCTGGCTCCTGCAGGGATGGAGCTGTGGGGCCCTGCCAGCGGCTGCCCCTGTGCCTCAGTTTCCCCGTGTACCGAGCCCCCATGGTGGGGTCCTCACCCCTGCAGCCTCCCCACCCTGGGGACACCGCCGCATACCCCAAGCTCCCGGGGGAAGGAGGTGTCACAGCAGGAAGAAGGGCACGGGAAGCAGCAGCATCCTTGTCCTCGTCCCCTCCCGGCGCGGCCATCAGCCCAGGCGTGCCACGAGAAACACCTCTTGTATTGCCCGCGATACAGCGCGGCGAGGCCCTTCCCGGGGGTGCTTGGGGGGTCCCCGTCCCCGCTGGCGTGTGTCTCCCCATCCCACCCCCCATCCCACCACGACGGGACCCCCCCCTGAAATGGACTCTATAATTATGGACACCAAACACCAAGAAGGAAGGAAAGGAGCCAGGGGCGAGCGGAGCGGGGAAGCAGGAGGCGAGCAGGATGGGTGGGTGCAGGGGGGGGGCGTTCGCTGGGACGGCGGATGGCCCCAAGCCCCCTCCCTCCCCCACACCTTTTGGGGATGGCACCGCATCCTCAGGCAGGGTCGTGCTCAGTGTGCAGCGGTCCCGTTCCCCGCTGGCACAGCCCTGCTCGGGGGGCCAGGTCCTGGCTCTCCCACCACCGGCGTGACCGTCCCAGTGTGGAGAGCCCCCGGCCCGCGCCCCACGGGCGTCCCCGGGGTTCAAACGTGTGTCTGCATCCGCCTCTGCAGGGGCCGGCTGGGGTCCGAATTTTGGGACGAGGACTGGGAATGGTGGGAGGAGGACGCGGAGGCTTTGCTGGCCTTGTCGAACTGCACGTAGCCGTCCTGCTTGCCGCTGCTGCTGATGCTGCTGTCGCACTGCGTGTCGAGGAAGGAGCTGCTGTCGCTCATGGAGCCGCGCTGGAACTCGCGCTCGCACAGCTCGATGGAGCTGCTGCCCATGCCCAGCACGAAGCGCTGGCTGTAGTCGTAGAGGCGGCTCTGCCCGCTCAGCGTGCTGTAGATGTTGGTGAAGGACATGCCCGTGGGCACCCGCTGCTTGCCAGCAGGGCGCAGGTCCGCCGGGCAGCCCGACAGCGAGATGGTGGGCGTCGAGTGGTGCTCCTTGAAGGTGTTCACGCTGTAGTAGCCGTTGGTGGGATCCTGCGGGGTGGTGGTGGTGTTGGTGGGGATTGGGGGCAGCCCAAACTCCCTCCAGCTCATTGGGGTGGGATAGGGATGCCCGCCACCACCCAACCTGGCTGCAGCATCTGAGCATCCCCCTGTGTGGCCAATTCCCCCTTCTTCTTCCCCCTACCCTGATCCTGGCACACACCTTGGTTTATTTTTCTTGTCCCCAGAGGGTGCTGGGACCAGCAGATGGCACCGGGGGTACCACAGCATCCCTCCTGGCATGGGGACAGAGGTCACCACGGGAGCCAAGGGGTGGCATATGGCAAGGGAAGGGCTGATCGTGCCCCATGGCTGGCACAGGGCCACGCCGGCACCCTGAGGGACACATGGAGGCACCTCCGTCTGCAGGGCTGGGGACAGAGGGTGGCTGCTGTCGAGGCTCTGTCCTGCGGCCTGGCTCACCTTCAGGTTCTGGAACTCCTTCTCCTCCTCCTTGAGCACCTCGAGCTGCTTCAGCACCGAGTCCTGCTGGAACTCCCCCCGGTCCATCTAGGAAAGGAGGCAACTGGGCATGAGCACCCCCAGCCCTGCTCCTGGCGGTGACTCCAGGAAGGACTTGCCCAGGGCCACTCCAGCAGGGCAGCATCAGCACCTCTGCACAGCTGATGCTCTGCTCACAAGTTGCTTTCTTCCCCTCTGGCCAGGACCAAAAAGGCTGAGCTGATGCAGAGGGTGAATTATTCACAGCTGTTGTGGCTGCGAATTGCTGACAGTGACACCCCTGTCCAAAACAACCCCCAGAATGTCTTTTTTATTTTTTTTCCTCCTCCTTTCTCATCCTTTCCTCCTAACCTGAATTTGGCTGCTAGACAACTTCTCAGTAAAAAAAATAAAATCCCAGATGGGTTTTGGCATGTCCTTAATGCCATAATTAATGTGAAATCCTTATTTTATTTTATTTTAAATTCTTGATTTTGGCTTCTCTCAAAATATTCGAGTCCTGGAGGCTTTACCCAGCCTTGCTGGGAGTGGTGCCGGCAGGGACGGGTCAGGAACTGACACCTTGGGGTTGATTTCTGCTCGCTGCTGCTCTGGATACGGATGCTGCCGCCCAGGCGCACCGGCCTCACCAGGGCAGCCCCCTCCTCCCCACCTCATTATTTCTTCTTTTGAAGGCTAACCGCAACTGGGGGCAAGGTGTGCGTTAATTAGAATACGACTTTAATTATCCGTACTTCAGAAAGGTGGGTCTGTGCAGACGCGGAATAATTATCGGCCAATTTCTCAGCTGCCTTTTATCTCTGCCTGCACGGATCGTGCAGCTCTGGCTCATAGAGGTGCCGAGCCCCGTCCCGCTTGCAGACCCAGGGCTGCACAGCCGGCCTGCCCGACTCCTCCGTGTGTGCCTGCTCTTTTTTTTCCCTCTCTTTTCCCTTTTTAAAACGGTAAGTGGTTGTGGAAATTCACCCTGCAGCGCTTTCTGTTCATCTTCTGAAAGCCTTTGATATGGCTATTAAATGCAATAAATTAAAGTACCTGAGTTTTTCCAGGAAAAAAAAAAAAAAGAAAAAAAAAAAGAAAGCTTGTAAGAGCCATTGATTTAGTAGGATAAACACACGTGTCACCAAGCACGAAACTCAGGGCAGCTGAACCTGCAGTACTAGGGGCCCCTAAATCCCTGCAGGACGGCTGCAGGAGGCTGCACATGGCCGTACAGGCTGTGCCCAAAGGATTTCCAAGTCCCTGATGGAGAAACCCCTTCTCCTCTCGCATTTTGCTGGGGTTCGGTGGTGACTGGGGGCTGGAGCGGGGCAGAGCAGCACACCCGCCAAGGCAGGGTCCCACTGGTGCCTTGCAACACCAAAGTCGAGTGGTGGCATGGGTTTTCTGGGGTCTTTTAAGGCATTTCATGGTGCCTCTTGCCATGGTGATTTGGGGCGCTCCTATAGCCCATTGGGGACCTGCCTGTGCCCAGGGCTGGGGGGGCTGGGGGCTCCCCCGGGGGTGTGGTGCTGCAGTGAGCCCCTGCACCATCAGAGGGCACTGGGTCCCCGTGCAGCACGCGCAGCCGTTCATTTCTAATTCCCAAATTAAGCCATTCATTAACGTGACCTTTATTAAAGCCCGCGCCACGACTTAGCTCAGTGCAATCTCATGCTGTCAATTAGCGGGCAGCGGGGCGCTCGTTTGCGTTCCTTCCTCTCCTTTTGATCCCTGGGTAAACAGAGAGCTTGGGAGTCCCTGACCACGCTCAACCCCATCCCGGCATCCGATGGGCACCGGCCAGGCCCGTGCTGCTCCGGTTTGGCTGGGAAGTGAGCCAGAGGAGGCACGAGCCTTTCTCCATCCTCGGCTGGCAAAGCTCAAGCACGACCCTTTAACCCGGACCTGGGCAGGGGCAGGCAGCTCCTTCCCAGCTCGCCCAAAGTGAGTGGCTTTTGCTACATGTTTTTATTTTATTTTTTCCCCCGCTAAATGGCTTCCATATCTTCTCCATCCCTCTGAGCACAAAAGGGCATCTGCTGCAGAGTGGGCAGCGCTCGGAGTGCTGCGTGACTATCAAATGCCAGCCGAGCTGCTGTATATAAATAGCCTGTTAATGAGGAGGCTCCTCATTCAAACAGGTGGCTACATGTCAATATGCAGAGTGGGGACGAACGTTAACTCCATCACCGCTATTAATAAGGATTATGAACGCACAGACAGCAGGGGAGGAGGAGGGTAGAGAAAAATGTTCAAAGCAGAGCAGGACATGGGGGCACCCGCTAGGTCCCCATTTCCCGGGGGCAGCGTGCCAGCTCCTAATGCCGCCTGGCAGCACCGGGTGGTGCCAGCTTTGGCATCCCAAGACCAGGGTGCTGCTCTTACTCTCTCCCCCTCCCCATGCCCAAGCCCCACTGCTCCCTCCTGACCCACATGGCTACGGGGTGCGATGCGTGGCATCCGTAATCATTTTGTGCCTCAGTTTCTCTTGCTGCAAAAGGCTCCCCACTGCAAAGCAACATACCAGGTTTGCTATGCTGTTTCCTACAGCCATCAAGGTGACTCCTCAAGGTCGTGCAAGACAGAGAAATGATTCTTAAATATTAAAATCCCAGGCTGCTCCCTTTGCTGGCAAGCCCGCCTTGCTCGCCAGGCTGGGTGTGCTCCAGCACCGCGCTGCCTAATCCTCCGCATGCTGAAGCTCTCCCTCATTTAGCTCCGCAAAATGAAGCTGCTTTCATCTGGGATGGTGAATTCAACAGACCGGATATTAAATTCTTTGCTTTCATTACAGGAGACAATATGTTTTTAAAATGGGTCTCCCTGCGGAGTCCCCGGCAGGGTCCCAGCACAGAGGCAGGCGATGAACCCGTCCAGGCTGGCGAGAGCCCTGCCTGGGGGGCTGCCCCCCTCCTTGCTCTGGGTTTAATTATAATGTTTCCTGCTTGTCGGGTAATTGGATGACACTCAAATGTACTTTGAAACTTGCACAG